AAATAGACTAAGAAAATATTTAAAAACAAACATTAAAGAAGTATGATCATAAATTTACTGTAATATAAAAAAGTAAAATAATGTAGATTCTATAATGCAGAGGTTTCATTTATTCCGTGACAACTTAATTATATACATGTAAACATTACGAACAATTTCATAGAATTGCATAATTGTAACGTTAGATACTGGACAATGATCACGGAAATTTAACGAAAAGATCGTCATCCTGTCATTCGTCATTGGAATTATGTGTTGCACGGCGAATTACGTAATTTTAATGTGTGAGCCGTTTAGAGAAACAAGTATTGCAAATATCGCTCTCCGATTACATCCGTTTCATCGGTTACGTATGAAAATGTCAGAAGACGCGACCTTGCACGGACTGCTTGTCACGTAAATCAATTCCGCATAGTTTTTAATAAATCGGCATTAAGCGGAGTGAAACGCACTCTCGAGTTGGCATTATTCGCAGGTGTAAATCGCGTCACACCCCAAATCACTCGCACGTGAGTACCCCACCGCGAGGTCCAATTAACCACACTGGCGGCTGTAACCAGTGCAACTGATAATCTTCATTAAGAAATCCATTATGGAGCAGGACGCGCGGCACGCGAGGAACGAGAAGAAGGATAAAAAAAGGCAAGGTGCAAAAGTGAAACTAGACATTTTCTCCGGCGCCCATTCAATTCATGCGCTTTACGGTCCATTTGCCTATATCTTCTAATTGCTCCGAAATTCCGCTCCTCTTCGCCAATCATCGCGAAACTTTAAAAAACCGGCGAAAAAGATTAAGGAGATTCTGGACTACTTTCTTCGCGCTGATTTTGAAACAGTCAAGCTGAGAAAGTAGGGTCATCATGTCTGAACTCCTCGAGGCGAATGAGAGTTTATTAAGCGTAATTGTTTTGAGGTCTTCGTACATCTTTTAACATGATACACATTATGAGTACATCTTCATCATACACACTTCATATGCAGCATTTTCAAGAGAAACGTATTTTTTTCACATTAAAATTTCATTAAAATAATATTTCTTTATTTATAAAGTAAGATTTAGGTTTAAATAAATTTTATTCTTGACTCGCAAAAATTTTTATAAAAAATGATCTTCCAAAAATGAGTCAGTTGTACAGAAATCAGAGATCAAATTTTTAGGATATGCAGATGCACATCGCATATCCGATTTTGCGTATCACTATGTTTAAACAGTAGGTAAATAGTAAATTTCTGATATTATGAGAGTGATGAGAGTTAGCGTCGATCATTATCTCGAAGGCAAGTGTACATCACACCTAAGTCACGCGATTAATAAAACCCGACTGATTAATAAGACCCGTATGTTTCTCAATCACTCGCTACTACTCTCCGGAAGTAGATCGAGATATCTGCGTGCCGTGCTATCATCCACGTTAATAATTCTTACGATGCAAAAGAGAAGGGAATAAAAAAGCGTAGCGCCAAATCGCGCGCGCGCGCGGAAAGTCGTTACGAGAAATCGACGGCCACGAAACGAGGCCATTGCCGGTGTATTTTCTCAATTACATAGGAAATTACCGTGCGTCCGCGACCGCTCCTCTCGACATTATTTTGCCACCTCCCCCTCTTCCCCCCCCCCGTGTCCGCGAAACAAGGAAATGTCGCATCATTACGGCACGCAAAAAAACATTTTTCGTGACGCATCTTGTAAAACGATACGCAAATGATTTGATAGAAAACGATCGCAATCCCGTAAAAAAATTTTTGTGATTTGCGATTATGTTTTTTCGATTATGTTCGAGCATCACTATGTCGATATATAAGTCGCGCCTCGCAAAAATTGCGTAATACGTGATCAATTGTGATTAGCTAATCGTAGACGCTGAGTGCAAACCACGATTCGCGACGCATGTTTGGATAAGAAATCTATCAAGATCCATGCGTATACGTTACTCTGATCCAAACTGACTTCGATCATCGACCTGCATATCTTGGATTGGATTAGAACGCATGCGGTCTTTCATCACCGCGTAAATGAAAATGGAACCTGGAATTAAACGCTCATACCTCATCGTTGCGCAACCGAAGAATTGCACGGTAAAAGAAATAGTTAGGACTTCATCCGTATACAACATTCAGGAAAAAAATTTATTTAACGTATCAGATATTTCGATTCGTATGAGATAATCACTACTTTACTCATGCAGATCTCCATGGTATAAAATATTCAAACGCATTTAAATTCCATATTTAGAATTCCTTTTGTATGATATCGCATGTATCTGCATTTGATGTAGATGTGCATATGGAACACTTCGCACACATATAAATATTCTTATTACATTAAATAATTCAATGACGCAATGCAATATCATTCCCGAACAAAAGCATCTTCTGCATTAGACATGCTTTGAACGTTGTAATAATTTGAAGCAAATAATTGGAAGTAAATACACGGGCTGTTCTTTATGAAGTTCTGATGTTCTAGATGTTAACAGAATGTTAACATTTATTAATATTCCTATTTTACGGTATTCGTGTTTCACTGAGGTAATAAAATAATTTTATTACTATATTACAGTTCATTAAACTATTATTAATCTTGTTTGAGAATAATGATCCATTGGTATTTTATTATTAATATTGTAAAGGATAAAACAGATTGATGTTATGGTAACAATAATACATTCCATGTATTATTATTCTTCGCACTTCGAGCACTGTTAGTACTCCTTTGCACATGTTCACAAACGTCATCGCTTTAGAATGCAATCGACACCGCATGTATTTAGCAAATGTAAATTACTTTGATTTACGCAATCAATTGACAAGACTCTTTTCGAGATAACAAAAAGCATCAATCGGATATTTCAATAGGTATGCAAACCAATCTAACGCGATATTATAATAATGTACATGGTTAATATGTAACAAGAAAATAAGAGTCATCCGAAATATTTTACATAATTGATACAATTTTATCTATTGATTTTCTTGTTGCTTTAACATTTTTATATTTATTTTTATATTTTACTAAAATAAAATTATCTTAGACAACTTATATTTTTGTGTCAGTTCTGCAGATTTCTAATCATTATTATTGATATTATTAATATATTTTTATTATATTGATATTAAAATTTTTTCATTCTTCTAAGAGAATTAAAATGTTCAAAAAATTATTTAATTTCATTTATATTGTATTTATAATTATACGAAAATTTATATTTTGAATGATAAAAATGTTTATTTAAAAATAGTACAATTCTAAAATGCAAAATTATTTAGAATGAATATTAATATGATGAATGAATAAATTTTCTTATTTCATTTACATGCATCAATAACTGATTTGCATGAATAGTTGAACAGTGTGTCTGTTGACAATTCATTAATTTTAATGAAGAACAGCAATGAAAACGGTTACGCCTGTAAAGAAACATAATACGTAAAATTATTATTAATTTAGATATGGTTAGAAAAAATAGTTTTTTTCGTTTACTTCTGACATATACAAATCGAAAAATAAATGTGCAGTTATACTTATTTTATTTATTAAGATTCAGTTTTTGGAGCGCAATAAATAGAAGTTTAGCACAACTTTATTGATTATTTAACTAATAACTGTTCATAGATTTTATTACTTAATAAGCGAAGTAATCTTATTAAGAGGAATCTTAAAATATTTTGATCTTACTCTTCCTTGAGAGCAAAATATTTGCAAAACATCTCCCACGCGTGTCATTCAGCGATTAACACGTTACTTGCTAACATTTGTCATCTTTATATAACGTGACAATCTTGTCCATTATTGCAACACATTTACAAGTCAATTTTCAGTTTTACGATACTTTCAGTACATACGATGAAATACATGCAGGCAACGCACACGTTGCACTTTGCAATGTGCATTTTCGATTTTTCCTTCGAACAAGTATTTTCAATACGGCACTGTATATCACGATTTCTCTGACTTCTCACGATCACTTGCTAGTTTCTCTTCGTAGAATCTCTTCTTGCAAGGTCAAAGGACAACGATACTTGTTTACTGACCCTATTCGATTCATAGAATCATTTATATTTGTCCTGGATTCGAAATATCCTGAGGCAGTTAAACTACTTCGAGGTGTTACCATAATTATTAATTTGATGATTAAGTAAATATTTTCATATATAGAATAAATATATATATAAAATTTATCATAGAGTATGTGCTTAAATTTATGCTAAATATACATTTTATATATGACATGGAAAAACAAAGTATTAACACAAAGATATAAGTCATACCGAAATTAAACCCAGTCTTTCTAATAGGAATGGTAACAACATATTTATTTATATTAAAATTATAATTATTAAATAAATTTCGATTAAAATTACGATATACACTTTATTTCATCCTATTCCAGTCCTATTCAACAAAATAAATCGCGGTACGCCAACAAAAACATCTGAAAAGATCTGAACATCGTCATTCTACATCCATCATCATCTTTAATAAAGCCGCGAAACTGATTGAACATATTTATTCTAATAACAATCGCAGTCTTCTGCTGCAACCTTCTCAGCATGTCCCTAAGCCCTTTGATGCCCCGCTGTTAATGCACAGCTTTTTTTCCATACGATCTAATACTTCCAATTGCATCGACGGTGCTCCTCATCATCATGCGCAGTCACGGCCACGTGGTGGTTTCTCCGCAGGAAGTCTCGTCCTCCAAGGTCAGAGGACAAAATTCTTCCGCAGTTACCCTGTCCAAATCTCCGATGTCCGCCCTGGGCTTAAATGGTAGCTCCGAGACGAGGATCCCTTCCTTGGAAATTCCTCGATCCCCTTCGTCGTCCTCAAACTCTGAGAAATCGTCTTCGCCGTCCTCGGTCCTCGCGGCGGCGAAATCGGCGTCCGTCAAAACGAGCGTGTTCACTCTTCGTTTCCTCGGCCTTTCCCCCGATATCTCCCTCGAGACCTCTTTCGCGACACGCGATGATCCCCTCTTATCGAGGCGACGTCGCGGTTTCTCGGGGCGACGCGCAGGCGACGCGCAGGGGGACGGGAGTACACTTCCCCCGATCGCATCCTCTTCGCGATCGCCGTCCGGATTGACGGCACCCGGTCGCCCCGGTCGTTCTTTATCTCGCGTGTCGCTGCTCGGCGGCTCCCCACTTTCCTGGGCCGCGTTCGCCGGGAATGCATTTTTATCGGTGGGACCACCGGCGCCTACGGCGGCCACGATTTCGCTAGTGCCACCTGCCACGGCTTCCTCCGGCCTTCCGTTCGAAGCGACCGCACGCCGACAGGCGTCTGCGATGTCGGCGGCCGGGCATACCACGTTGGAAGCGTAGGTCTCCGCGATGCCGTGACTCGGATGGCTCGACTCGGATGGCAACGCGCTCGAAACGGGTCCCTTATCGACGTTAGCCTTGGCGCTCTCGACGTCGGTCCTGATCCGCGGATACTTGCGATACTCTTCCTGCAAGTAAACGCGGAACTGATCCTTGAAATAACCGTCGATCATCTTCCAGATGGTGGCGCTGTACCAGCCCAACACGCCGAGGAGAACCACCCCGCGAATAGCAAACGCTAACATAATAAGATCTTGTGGTTGCGGTTGACTATTACAATTCCGATATTATAAAATATCATATATAATATTGTACAATAAATATATATCTTATTCAGTAAGAGTGTGATGTGATACATTAATAGAAGATTAATCTTTTTCTAAGAAATAAATCAAGTTATTAAATTATCTTAACTAAGAATTAGAATAATACAATTTAATAACTTGTCTATTAGTTCTACTGAAAGTTATATGACCCATAGAGATCTCCAGAGATTTATTACTTTAAAATGAGGAACTTCTAGCAAGAAAAAAGTACAAGGAAGATTTTTATCTTACACAAATAACACAATCTGTACATCTGACTTTCAAATGCTGCGCGTGAAAAAGTTTTGTCACAGTTCTATCTATCGCTTTGTGGCATTTGCAAGAATATTAAATCTTTTGAAAGTTGACGATTATTTCTAGTTTGTCTTCCTAAATATCTATCTTTCACCGACTTTAAAATGGATTTGCTATTATACCGCACAAATTAAATTTAATACTTTTTTTATAGTTTTTATAGTTTGTATAATTAATAAGCGGTATGATCAATAACAATTTCTTATTCTATGAATAATACAATCATATTCCATATATCATATTATATGAATAATAATCGTATTTTACAAATAATTATTTCCTATCTGTTATTAGTCTAAATGTCCTTTTGTTTTAATAATAGAATTTAACATGGATATTAATGTCGCTCGATATAAAAATAAAAATGAAACTAATGTTAACAGATATATATATGTATATGTCAAATAATTGAAATAAATAATATTGCAACACTTGTTCAAAATTGATTAAATTTATGATAATTAAATTTTTAAATAATCTTCTCAATCATGATTAATTAATTATCTTCTCTTACGAGATAGTCTTTAATAATATAGAAAGATTCTTTCATGTTTGGCCAAGCCATGGTGACAAAAACCAAAATCGAATTTGCGATCACGAAAAGCCGCATCATTTCGACACCAGTGCTGGATCGAAGCCAACTTCCAAAACCTTGATTCTCGTCATCGCTCAGATTTCCCGGATCAGACTTCTCCACTGTCTTACCTCCATTTTGACAACTCTTATGTTTATTCTCATTATTTCCGTGTTTCTTCATGCTGATCATATAGCGATCATCTGCAAATATTGATTTTACTGCTACAATAACCCTTTCATATTTCATACATTATTTTTCAGAAGAAATAAAAAAATCAAGAAAAAATAAAGAAGAGGGATCACATTTATAAAATATTTACTATATAAGTTCTATATAAAATCTAACGAATATTTTAAGAGCTTGTAAAAAAAACTGGAAAAATGTTGAGAATTATCATTTAATATTGTTAACATATGTTTAGAATTTTAATTTTTCAAGACGGTACATTGCTCTTTTATTGTTTACCAAAAATCACGTTAATTACAATTGCCAACTAATAATTTGCACGAATTCGAGGAAAATTCTCTCACTACATGACGATTTATGATGAATCGACAAAGTTGGACGAAGATGAAATTAAAAGTACCTATATATATATATATATATATATATATATATATATATTGTACCG